GCGAAATCGACGATTCTCGCTCTACCACCTACAAACTTCGCACTGTTCCAGCAGATGCTAACAGCGCCAAGTAACCTTCAAGGTCCAAATCATCAATGGATCTGAGACTCCACGTCAGACCATCAAGTGGGCTGGACGCATGGAGAAAGTCTTCGTTGGGCTCGCCATTGCTACGCCTACCGATAAACATAACCTCCTCAAGGAAATGACTTCTACTCTGCCAAGAGCAGTTACGAATCTAGCTGTGCAGGCCACCGTGAACTACGTTGGAATGCCTTGCGCAGATTGCAGTCAACGCATTCCTCCACGCGACATACCTGGTGTTGAAGACGAAGCCACTTTCCAAGACGTTTCCAGAATGCCTGGGAGGGAGCAGCTCAGCCTGCTTGGACGACTCTGACATTACGTTCGGCATAAATGCCTTGTGAAGCGGTCTGTCCCTACAAGGCTCTTGAAAAGCAGAAACCTTCATGCGCCGCAAGATGCGTAAGCCTGCTGATATGTCTACTCGGGCTTATGTCACAACCTCAGTCGATGAACACCGATGAACTTCCTCGTCTACCACCTTTTGGACCCAACCAAACGTTGAACATGACGAAGTCATTGAATTGTTTGTCATGGAATTCCACGCTCGTGGATGAAGAAGATGGACGAACAGAGACTTCGATCCTTTCCAGCTCCTATCGGAGAAACCATTGGGTTCTGCGAACGCATGAATCCTCCGAAGATTTGACAAGGGCGGTGATACCAAGCAAGCTCCTTCGAAAAGAACAACAGCAAGAAGTACAAGTCTACTCGCAACAACGATCACTTTTCCAAGAACGAAGAAAAATGGTGTGACTACCACGAGTCCAGCACTCACAACACTGCTGACTGCATGACTCTGAAGAAGCTCAAGCCAAGTCCTCGTCCCATCTGACAACGATAACAAGCCAGCGTACAACAAGAACAAGACTTGGAAACGAAATCGGACGACGCCAAGACCTACACCAAGAAGGAACTCTCTGTCCTCATGAAGAAAGTTTCCAACGCTGCGGGTCAAGGTGATCGCAAGAAGAAGAGCGAATGCAACCATGTTGCCAAGCGCAAGTCGACAACTCCGACAAGAGGACGACTCCTCTGTTGGACCATCAACATGATGGACAAGAAAAGATGGCTGCTGTTGACAAGTCGCTTGCCGAATTCGACTTCAATCATTCGAGATGAGAGAAATCTCCGCTGAGTGATTAGCGCCAGGATGATCGTTTCACGGAAACATGTTCCGATTCCTCATACCTAAGTGATGAAGATAACTCAAAAATAGTAAACAAGATTTTTTGACACTAACGAAGTCTACGGCAAATTAGATAATTGCCTAGTAACTATTCAACTAGACACTGACGATTTGTCCAGCATCGTTAACTTCGTCCATGGCAAATCAACTCATCAACGTCGCAAGACAAGAGACCTCGAACCCATCGTTTATGTTATATTTAACAGACGAGCGAAGGGGAAACGAAAACCCGTTACACTCTGTTGTTTACTGGATACAGAAGCATTCGGAACTTTAATTACTCAACATCATGCTAAGAGTTTACTCAAGAGGAATCATGGGGCCGTCCAAACACTACGGCTTGCTTCTACGAAGGAACTGAAACCCAGCACGAAGTGTGAGGGCACACTCGCGATTCCTGAGTTCCACGATGATAGAATTATTAAGTGGAATTTACACGTCTCCATGAACTTGGGGGCGCAAGACGTGATCATAGGTCAAGAACATCTCTCGCGACCTAAGAATCATAGTTTGGAGTTTTCACTACATTGTTCATGAGGGTGGAATCCACGCCATTATTTTTCCCTGCGGAAGATGGCAATACCAATAGAAAGGAGAACTTCTCCTTTTCCGATCCTGCAGCTGTAAGCGACAATGCAGATAGTCTCAAAAAGAAGTTTCTTGAAACAACATACGAACAAATAGAATTAAGGCAGATGTGCCAGAGTCGAAAACCCAGTTAAATAAAGGAAGAAGCAAGAACTGCCTCATGCCTTTACAACCAAGTGCTTCGACCCAGTCGAGGATCCTTTGGGAGAGTTGCGAAATGGACGACTACGAAGTAGAACTTCGTGCCGACGCTAAATCCTATTATACTAGGGCTCATCCTACTCCACGAGTCCATACCAACACTCTTAAGAAGGAGGTTGAACGTCTCTACGAGGCAGGAGTACTCAAAGAAGGTGAATCGTTCCAAGTGGGCGGCAACAACTTTTAACATCCCAAGAAAGAGGAATCTGTACGATTCATCTCTGAATTCCTGGAACTGATCAAAATGATTAAGCGGAAGCCATATCCTATCCAAAAATACAGGACGTGCTCTTGAACCCAGATGGATTCAAGTGCGTTACTAGTCTAGACCTGAACACAGGGACACTACCACATCGACCTGTCACCTCACTCGAAACAACACTATACCATTGCACTCCGAAGGGAAAGCACGAGAACCAGAGGTTGCCAATAGGCCTATGAATAGTCCCAGACATCTTCACAAGGAAGATGAAAACACGCATGCATGACTTAGAAAATGTCCGTGAATACATTGATGATCGGGGAGTCGAAAGGTATCGTGGACCAAGTACATTCGACTCTGGAACAACGGGCCGACATCTTCACTAAGGTCTGCCCGCTCCACACAGTTTGCAGTCATTCGGAAGCTCCTCATGGGATGGTAATCTACCTCAGCACGTTGCTGGGGACTCTCTCCTATCGTTTCTTGCTACAGCTTCATTTCAGCTGTAAGGGAGTGCAAAGGGATACAGCTTACAATTCAGCTTCACAAATTGCAGGCTTATTCTAGAAAATAATCAATAACTGCTCACTTATTTGAAAATACAAACTTTACATCTCTTAGATCGTTAGACTAGTCAATACACAATGGTATTGTCGCACCCAACCATGATTGAGGTCCTGATGGTGATCAAGGGGGATGCCATCTTGTTGCCACCTGGAGAGGGAGCCACTGAGGGTGCAAAGGCACAGCATGAGCGACTCATGTTTGTTGCTAAATGAATGTGGGATTGCCTCTATGCTCAGGCTGGTGGTGCATCCAAGTTTTGGAGGAAGGCAGTTCGCAAGAACTACATCATTTCGGAAGCCAGGGTTGATGGTTTGGAGGCTTTCCCTCCCAATTCGGAAGCATTTGCTGCCCTCGCCTTCAAGAATGGTTACACAGCGGAACCAGGTGCTGTGGACAATGAAGGCAACGCTACCAATGGAAAGTGGCACGAGTACTTCAAGGTTACCAAGGGCTTCACCTTGGACGTGAAGTTGCCTCGCTCCAGCAAAGCAGATGATCCGGAGGGAGTTTATGAAGGGAGGTACTCCAGTTCCAAGGCTGGATCTTCTGCTTTTGGAGGGTGGAGTGACAAAGGCCTTCGCCGCTTCAAGGATTTGCAGAAGCTTGTCAAGGAATCTAGAGCCCAGGACCATGCTAAATTGGTGGAGCGGGCCATCCTTGCTCGTGTGCGCAAGGACATCTACAAGATTCCTGATAGTGTCGATGCTGGAACTGAGGACTCCAAGAAGAAGCGCAAGCGCCAAGAGTCCAGTGTGGATCTTGATGAGATTGATGATTAGGTTGCCCCTTGGCAACCTAGGACCCCATCATTTGGTGGGGTCCTACCCAGGCTTTTGGTGGCTTCCTCCACTTTCTTCAAAATCATTTCTCCCCTTTTAGCAGGGCTTCCAAGACGACTTTGTTACCTATGGCGTCCTTGTTTGGTTGCCCCAGCCGTCCTTTTTGGGAATCATTTGGACCCTTTTCTCGGACCTATGGATGCCCGTACCGTTACAGTTGGTTACATATGAGTGACCTGTTTCTCCCCTTTTACTACGAACATTATGTCATTGTTCGCTTACCTCCACTACTCTGTTATTAGTAGTACCATAACGAATTTAGCCCCAATCATATCCAACATTGTGAACTGCTTTTCTCCATTTTGGAAACCCCTGCTTATAGATTTAGTAACCTAGGACTTTTTCATTTGGGAAGGAATGGCTGAGCTGTTTTGGATTCCACGGCTTGGGGAATAGCCTACAACTGCCCTTCTGTAATTAGCATCACAAAGTGCATCAACTTGTAAGCCATGTATAGAAAGGGGAACGGAATTCGGTAGAGGAATAGTGAACGCTTAGTTCAACATTCTGTAACCGTTGCGCCAATGACTCGTGCTGCAATTGCATCTGTATATGCCTGAGTCGATCGTCTTCAATTAGTAGGATAAGAGGTTCTTGAATATTGCACAGCTGACCTCACAAAATGGGAAGGATCACCATACATAAGCGCGAGGTCAGTTACCGATTGGTAACCTTACCATCGACTGACCTGGCAATTTT